ATTAGAGAACGGGGGTTTGATTTAAGTGAATGCAGACGCGCAACCGTCTACGGTACTCTTCACCTTCAACCCGAATGAACTGGTGACAAGACAGAGTCGAGTTGACCTAACGGGATCCGGCGTAGGCCGATTTCTTCAATGCAGGCCAAAACACCGCCTAACTTAGTCTTAAGTGACAGTAGACTTTGAGCGGGTACTGCCACACTACCTAATCTCACTCACCCTCAGTGGGTGTCAAAGCAGACTCAAGCAGATCAAGGATGATACCGCTACTACTATTTCTACTGTTCTAACTAGCAATGTAGTTGAATGCTAGTAGTACTGGTAATATTAATGACGCTAATATTAGTCATACGTGTCGCTGATTAGAGTAAACACTGGGGCTCATATCCCCTCGATCTTAACAAGGATTGCGAATCTGTATTTATGCTATTCCGAGTAAATACATGTTTGAGACCCGAAGCACATCAGGGCTTGCCTTGCTTTTCGTTCTCTCAACTCTATCCACCAGGCCGTGCCAGTTGCTATTAAGTTTGGGCTAAGAGGACTAGGATCCTGCTGCTAGAAGTAATATGCATATGCTAATAGCGCTCAATTTAGCAATCGTACTTACTAAGACCAGTAAATAGTATACTATAATACTGATTGTAGGAAATCGGCACCCATTATGCAGTCCCAAGCCGTATGGGGCGCAAATAATAAGCTTTTGAGTTAAATAAACGTTATAAAATAATAGCTCAGGTTATACTATGCCTTTATGTCACAACGTAGCGCCGTCTAAAGAGTAATCGTGGACTTACTACAGTATCTAGCTTACGATAGACAACGCGTAATCGCAGGGTGCCGTCTTTCTTCATGATTTGGATGACCGCGGACGACCAATGGAAATTAAGACGGCGCAATAATCTTTCCATCGAGCATCTCATTTACCATCGCTTTTAGTTCTGTCCGGTAGAAGAAGGGTAGACTTTGAGGTGGCATCTTAGTTGGTCGGCCTCTAGTATGCAGTCCAAGCTATATCGGGGCAAAATGCTACCCTATGAGTTAGCGAAACGTTATTAAGTAATTGTTCAAATTCCACCATGCCTTTATTTCGCAAGGTAGTGCCATTTGTCATTTTCAGGCTAACTGTAAACTTACTAGCGTATCTAGCTCTATCTGGGAATTTACCGAACGTCTCCTGTTTAAATGAGGGCGCAACATGCTTCAGAATTAGCCAAGCATGAGAACATGGCATTTCCTATACTGAATCAATAGCTGAAGGATAAGACAGACAGCTTGTATTTACAATAAGCATAAAAATGGGAATATGCACGTGCAAGCTCCCTTATCCTTAACGGAGGTGATCGCGTGAACACCTGGGTTATATTGGGGTGGTTTTTGCGATCACGCTGCCTCTGTACGGATGACGCATACATGCAGATACAGGCAAATTACCTCGAAATACACGGCAGATTTGAGGTTCTCACGAGTGAAGTAACCGTTGAAAGTCACTTTATAAGGTCTTATGTGGATCGAGCGCCCTGATTGGTTTGTGAGTAGTCAATAACTACCGGTTTTGCAGGCGACAGTTCGACTTTCCATCTCGATGATGCCCAACATGTGCCCCAAACAGGTTCTTCCAGTGACGGTGATTTGCGCGTGAGTTAGGTTTGAGTGATCCACCTGAACCCAGTGTCTCTGTCTCACCTGGGATCCGGACAGCGTCCCACGTATTTATGCGGGGGAGGGTGACGGCCATGGTAGCGGGGCATTCGAAACATGGCAGGAACTAGCTTAAAAGT